TTATTTGTCAAGATTACAAATTAATAAATTTAAAAAAAAACTTAATAATAATTACACTATTATTATTATCAATATGCATCAACACGATTTAGAGATGGATTACAAGTTGGAAACATGGTTAATAAACTTATTAGAAATACATCGACATTTATTAATTATTAGATTTTTAATAGATATATAGATATTTATATACTTATAAATTAGTTTATTTTAAAAAATAAATTTCAACATTGGTCCTAAATTATTTTCTCACAACTATTATTTTCAGAAAATATTTATCACGACTCATATTGACTTATATTGACATTCGTGAAAACTCATCTCTAGAATATTTATTGAAGCAAATTGTGTTTTGAATTCCCTAGATACATGAAATGTTATCGCATTCCTTAACAATCTGACTGACTGACTTCTATACTGACAGAAAAGCCACATCAGCCATCATTTTTGTCTCTCACAATCAGCCCCAGAAACGCCTTGTACCAACTGTGCCACATTTACAAGCGATTTCGAGGGCTGGACCCTAAACTGAATTTGTTCCTTATTGAAATTCCTTCGTTTATTGGAATGTTGTTTGAACAGAATGATGGTTCATTATTATTGTCAACGTGTAACATTACAAGAGAAACTTGAGGCAAATGTTTATAGTAGATTATGTATAAAACTAGATTGGAATTTTCGTAATTCACAGTACTCAACGTACTAAATTATCTTAATGTTGCATATATAAACATACACATACACTTTTTTTAATTATTAATTCAAGTTCATATGCTTCGTAAATCATATTTGTTAAATTTGGCATTTTACAATATCGACGTGAATATTTACAAGGGAAACTAAAAAAAGAATATTTATAGTAATTTTCTGTAATTGACACACATAACGCATTAAATTATCATAATACAAATATAAATATATACATATTTTTTTAAATTATTAGTTTTTGTTCAGATGCTTTGTAAATAATAATTGATCTTTGACTTCATCTTCTACTATATGAATGACATACTACTATAACAATGAATTCTCAGAAGGAAAACTGTAGAAAAATATTTATTGTAAAACATGTATAAAAGTACATAAGAAATCGTACATCATCATTTCGTAAATCACAGGCACTACATATAAAATTACACTTATGCAGCATATATAAATATATACATTTTTCATTGTTTTTTTCAGTTATTAATTTATGTTCAAATCCTTCTGTAAATCATATTTGCGAGACTCGTTTATGTTTGCCTAACATATTAAATGTTAAAAATAGAAAATTAAACGCCAATCTCTTCATAAATTCAATAAATTCATATTTAATTAAACGCTCTTATAAATTATTAAGGAAATAAACAGCGCTCACTACCAAAAAAAAAAAACTAACAACGATAGAAAATACTTTTGTTATAGGTTTTTAAACATAGCCTTTTGTCTCCTTTAAAAGATTTTATAAGTATTATCCTTTTCTCAATATATACTTCTTAATATTCTTCCTATATTTTTTAATTTAATTGTATGCCAATTTTGCATAATAATTTTCCATGTAAAAATTACGTTATAAAATATTATTGTTACGTTATAACTAAAAAAGACGCGACTCAAACTATCGTTATTTTGACTGTGGTTTTTCGAAATATAGAAATTCAAAATATAGAGCAATGTAAATAGTATATATGAACATAACATATATTTTGTTTAACTATAACCTTCATTTCCATAAATATAATTCAAAGTTACTACGTTAGTGCCTATAAAAGCAAAAAAATTGGTCTGCATTTTTGTAAAGATTTTAAATTCTGTTTAACAATTCAGTTCTTGACCAGTGCTATATATTTCAACTTTACAAAATATCCTTCACGTTTTTTTCTCATGGTTTAACGCAATAAATTTCAATATCTGATTCTCAACCGTTTCCCATGTTTACCCCAAGCTTTCAAACCAACATATATTTAGTTCACTTTCAGTTTTTATATTTCACCAAAAAAATGGCAATTTAAATCTCAAAGGGTTCGTTGTCCTTCAATTCGTAAATGGCTTATAAAAAATTGTAAGGGTTCTACGGGGTAATGGAACTAATTGTGATATATAAATGCAGGTTGTTTTTTTTTTTTGAAAATGTGTCATTTGCATGTACCATGTGAAAGGTATATGGCGCAGAAAAAAAATTAAAGATATATCCTCGACCTTCAAAATAAGTCTGCACAAGTTTATTTATTGCTACAAAATGAGGCTAAATAGAATGTATTAAAATGAGAGAAAAAATATGTAAAACGCTTTTTTGTCGACTTGATAATTCAAAAATTATGTAGGGTATGGATAATAAACGAAAAAACTATATATTTTTTTAACGATACTATTTTAAAGTAGAAGGAAAAAGATGTGTAACCAGCGATGACGTCGCTATCAGGAGGTCAATATCAAAATATTTATAACAAACGTATTTTTTTCGTTGGTAGTTTTTTCGGTTTTAGCTATTTTATTTAGTTTATGAAGTAATGTTATTTAGTTTATGAATAAAAGAATATAATTTTTAAGTATTCTTTATTTAATTGTTTTATAAGATGCATAATTAATTTTAAGTTAAGATATGACAGTATATTATATAATATCTATTAAAGCTTGCATGTGGTTATAGTAAATAAAACAAAGTGGAAGGGTGTAAACTATAAGAAAATAGAAAATAAAAACGTAAATTAAGTTAAAGAAGTTAATTTTACTAAAGCAATTATTTAAATTTATAGTTATTCCGACTTTATTGATTTCTGAAGAAATACAAGATCAAGGTTATAGAAAGTGTGATCGTTGCAAAAAATGTGAAATTTTTATTTTATATTGATTAAATAATGTAGCTATTACTTCGTGAAATTCCTTGAGAATTAGAAAATAAAACATTAAATCTGTTTGGCTCCTGGCTGTCTCTTACTACCCCACCTATGAGCGGATTTATTCTATAAGCATTAACATACTAATAACTATAAATAAATAATTTAATAATTTTGATCATGAAATAGAGGTAAATTAGTTAATAAAAATAAAATTTGCTATAGGTACATACATAAAAAATACAGGGGGTACAAAAAACATATTAATTTTGACATTATTTAATAATTCTTTATATTTTTAATCTATATTTGTAAACGTATATGTTAATATATCTAAAATTATTCAAACTGTGTTATACCCAATGTAATTTAAAAAGTATGATATTTATTGAAAAGAATTTTTTTCATTGTTTATCAAACAAATTACCATAAGCATCAGAAATAAAGATATGAGAGATATTTATGAGACATTAAGTCAGAATGAAAGATATGAGATGTGATCAAATTTTTTATATTAATTGTCCATGTCTATAACTATATAATTTATTGCAAAGTTTTCGGTATTAAAAGAAACAATAAAGCGTACAAAAACCTTATTACTTCTAGCATTACCGATAACTCATTACATTTCAAACGTTGTGTTTGGACATTGTGTCAGATGCAAAACAAATACCATTTACCAGAAAATCAGAAATGGGTTTACCATCGGCCATAAATTATTTGACAATTTATTTGCAGAGGACAATTAAAGACAGTAGCCAGAGGAAACAACAGCAACTGGTTTTTAGATCGACATATCAATGACCGTTCTTGTGTTTTGCTATTGGCTCTCTCTCTTTTTAGCAATAAACGTCAAGATGCGACTTTTTATTTCCGTTTTATGATGAACTTAAATGAAAACCCATGCTACGCGTTGATAGATAAGACTATATGTACTATCAGATTGATTTATATTTCAAAGTTATTTCAGTATTACGATAATATCGCACACATCATACAATCTGTTCACGATATCTAATGTCGGCAGCACATTCTTACTGACGGAAAATAATGCTTGCGTTTAAGTGCCTCGGAAGCATTTGGAATATTTTTCACTTGTTATTGTACAAATTCTTAGAAAAGTGGGTGAAGAAAAAACTACTGAGCCCGGTCCTGAAAAGGAAAGAAAACTGGATCGGACCCATTCTGCAAAAAGAGTGCTTTTTACACGACGTCGTGGAAGGTAAAATAAAATGAGTGATAAGTCTGGGAGGAAGAAAAATGCAGGCGATTGATGACTTACGCAAAAAGAAAAAATACTGAGAACAGAAGCAAAAGTTTACAAAGAAAAATGTATAAAAATGTATCAAACAGTATTTAATGGTAATGAAAGTGATAGACAATGAATAGAAAGGTAATCTTCAATTGCGGTAGCTCTCACACATGGACCTGCCTTCGGACAGATTACCATTTATAATTATTTTTGTCCAAACTGGAATTTCTCACTTTGAATCAAAAAAATAACTCTGCTTTGACTTTCAATTAACGGATTTATTTATTACTTAATTTGCCTGAGTATTTCACCATTATCAACGTAGGAATAAAACGTATTAGGTAACGGTCGACGCAAATTACGACGATCATTTCAGTGTTGAGATAAAGGAATTTCATTCTATAATATGTTATTTCTATGCAATGGTACTGTTGTATTACAAAGAGATAACAATAGTAATACTATGACGTGATTCTTCAAGATTACATTACTGATGTACGTGGGTATCAATGTACTTTCACAAAGTCGATTCCATAACTTAAATGTGTTATGTGTTATTGAATTCTACGGTACACGGTTAATTAATTATTTTAGAATCTATAATCGAGAATCCAAATTTTCTTGTCTAAACGTTATCAAAAAAATGTATCAGACAAGCAAAAATGTCATAACACTCATTACCTTAAATCTTAATGCAAAATAATATTATTGCAAAGTACCTATGTGCTTAGCTTATATTAAAGCACAACTAGCAAATAGAAGTGAAGTAAATTGTCTAATATCAAATTAAAAAAAAATAATAGCTAATAATTGAATCTAACAATTGATATACAAGTAATTTTAAAAACAAATTAAAAAAGTAATTACTGTTTTTGGTCGTTTGGCGCAGTTGTAAAAAACTATAGTTATAAAGTAAAAACAATGCTTACCTTCAAAATTGCCTATGTACAATTTTGATAACTCTTCAGGTGGCTTCGTCGTTCTTCCTACTCCATCGTAAATTATTTGAGTAATCTGAAAAATAAACATTTTAATAATAATCATAATTAATATTCAAAGCATTATAAACAAGACTATATGAATTTGTTAAGAAATAAAACAAATCGAACAAAAACGAATTATTAATCCTGGTAAACGTTAGACTCAGCATAAAATCACAAATAACAAAATATTTAATATAGCCCAGTGTTTATGAAATTGCAGAAGTTCTGATTCAATTCTACAGATATTTATTCCAAACAACAAAATAAAAGTTGTAGGTTAAATGTGATAGTTATGATTTATGAAAATTAGTCGTGCCTACATATACTATTTCAATAATGATCAATCAAAACGGAAACCTGGTTAATAATGTAAGAAAAATTCGTTATTTATTAGTAAGAAGAAATGCTCTATGTTTATGCTTATTGATTTTACACGTATTTTATTCTAAATACACATATAATATAATTCTAATAAAAATTTATTACGTAATTCTATACGTAAGCCTAATTCTAAGCCAATTAATCATAAAACTTGAGCTTAATTTATTGAATTTATTCGAATATTTAGATTCAGACATAGATTTATTTTAAAATGATACTATACTATTGAATCTTCATAATATTGAAGTATAATGTAAAATAAAAGTGGAAATCAAATTGAAAGTAGAATATAAAAAAAATTCAAATTAAAGCTTTTTTAGTAAGAAGAAGTCTCTATAATTAAGTTTAATAGATTGAACTTAGACAAATATTTTAGTTTAAGTATACAGATCCATAATTGATAGTGTACTAATAAATACTCAGTACTATTGATTAATACTATTGACTCTATACAATAAAAATGGATCGCAGGTTAAAAGTTGCACAAGAAAAATTCAAACTGAAGCTTTTCTAGTAAGATTAAATGCTTTATATATTTTTTTTATTTCCATAGATTTATTGTTGATCAAAATAATATACATTTTTAAGACCAAATGCTGGGTGTAAATGCATTTAAGAGATTATCTCCTATGAGATATTTATTTTTTTATTTTTTGACATTTTATTTAAGATCGTATTGCCATGTTTTTAAATCTTCGAGTAGGAGATTCCTCGCCTAATTTTTTTAAATGTTTGTTTGGATGATCTGGTAATTTTTCGTGGTATTTTTTGCCCCTTTCTTTTATCATTTCATTAATAGTTTTAATGTTTAAGTCTTTATGTAGAGTGTCGTTTGTAATATACCACGGTGCGATGCTTTATATGTTAGCTTAATTTTAGACCTATTAAACGTAAAACTTGGGTATAATGTCTATATCAATTTCCTACCTATATGAGTCCCGGTATCTTTTACCGGCATTCGATAATTCGATTCGTGTGCGTGCACGCACACGCACGCGTCACGGACGAATTCAAGAGCTGGTGTCCGAACAGTTTATGGCCGTTTAATGAACCCTTCTCTCATTAATTCCGTTTTACCAGTCATATAACTTTGTATGCTAATAGTCGTTATTGCGACGGTAATCAGTTCTGTTGGGGCATCAGCGCGAGCTTTTGGGGTTTACCGAGAGCAATAGAGTATGAAATCACATCCAAACTCAAATGACTAACAGTGATACCGAAATGAAAGCCGAGACTGTTCTCAAAGACAATAATTGATATTGTGCTATTACACATGCTTTATAAGAATAATGCATTATGATTGATAGATATGATTTTTGAAGAAGGTGTAGGTCAGAGCGGGGTTTAAAGATCCGCCGGTAAAAAGGTCCACCACCGGTATCTCAAAAACAAGTAAAGTTAAGAATTGTTTAACAACATTATTTAAAAGTAGAGGAAAAAAGATGCATAACCAGCCATCACCTTGATTCTTATGACGTAGCTATCGTGGGAAATAAATGGGAATGTTTGAAAATCCATAACAAAAGTATTTTCTTACGTTGCTAGTTTTCTGCTCGTGAGCACTGTTGTTTAGTTTACGAGACCTCAATATAATTATCAAGTCTACCTTATTTCAATTTTTATAAAAAGTATTGTTATTTTTAAGATGGATTCAAGAGTTTTTTAATAGAACCTCTGTAAGAGCTTACATGTGAAAAGTGTAAGTCAAAGATGTAAATAATAAAAATAGTAAATAAAAAAGTAAATTCAGTTGAAAAAAACAATAAGTTGAATTAATAGTTATTCCAATAATTATTTCTAATAAAATACCAGATCAAGGTTATATACAGTGTTATCATTGCAAAAAAGTTGCCAATGAAATTTATATAAATTGCATTGGTTCCATACTGTAGCTATTATTTCAAAATATCTAATTAACAATAAAAATAAGACTTTGGACCTGTTTTCCCTTGGCTGTCCCATTTTATCTCTTTTATGAGGTAAAAAGAACCAGATGACATATTTTTGAAAAATATCAAAAGAAATACATTCCTACCTAATAATGATGAATTAGCTGGGAGTTTAATACACGTTTAACAACTTTTAGTAAAGTTGTTTGTTTGATATGTGTTACTTGTTGTGATATAATTAGTTTGGTTTTCACAATAGAATTATTCAAAGTCAAATTGGACCTTTGTGCCCTACCCTACCCTATCACAAAAGACGTTATTTTTAAAAATAAATATGATAAGATAAATCTGAAGTATTTCTTTGTAATATGATCTATAATATGAATATGAATTAATTAATTATGTGCGCAAAGATTGAAGAATCGAAATTAATGTAGTCTATTGTCAAAAACATTTATTCATTGCAATGAGTTCCTATTGAATATGTAATGTTAACTACAGCATATTGTGTTGATTGAGAATATTTTTACGTAGGCGTCCCTCAGTTGATACAGTGTCCTATTGTCTAAATTTAATTATATTTAGCGACCAATTTATTATGTTCATGTTGAAATAAAATACCAAATGCTAACAATAAGGACAAAATAATAAAACTAATCTGCGATGCCTTGAGTTAAAATTTAAACAAATGGTATAAATGCATATAAAGTTCAAGGAGTTAATGTCACGATATGCCAAGAAGTAACTGCAATTAATTATTAACAGATCACTCCAGCATCCAACTAATTCTATCCAGAGCTATATTTCTATGAACTAAAGTGTGCCGAGTTGGCTTCTAAAAACATTGAAGCTTTTTGTCTTGCACGCTTTAAAGTTCAATGTCCGAGACGACTGGTATGCCTTGATCTAAATTCCATCTCCTGCCAAGAATAATTACAGCACGAAATTAGAAAAGCAAATTTGATGTAAACAGGAATTTCACAATTCGTCAGGTTTAGCGTTATTTCTGCAAACTCATTAAAGACGACTGTCAAATAAAATGTTCTAGCCAATTCGTAAAGCGTAATATTCGAAAGTCATTGAGAAATAGAGGTAGCGAAATCTAAGCATTTTACAGTTATATTTTTTGCGAACAATTTATTTATATAAACGTATAATTTCAATTGAACTGAAATATAATTCTCCAAGCGTGCTCTGTGATGATTTTTTAAACGTGAGTACCTAAATTAAAAGTTAATAGCAATATAAAATAAAATTAGTTGGAAGGTAAAAACAAAGTAACAATTTAGAATTGCTCATGAAATTGAAGTTATACTTAGATTGAAATATTTTTGATATTCTACAACTGTATTAGCAGTTCGATACTTATTACTTCAAAAATGTTGATTTTCAACTTCTGTATGTTTCTTATACGGCTACTTTTGATGTTGGTAGACAAAATATTAGTTGGTAGACAACTAAGCATAGAAAGAATAATTTTTTCGCAATTTTAAATAAAATATTTTTGAATAGATAAATAGTCAAATAAAGTATCAAAAAGATAAAATAACCAAAGACAACACCATAAATTTGATTTCTTCCATAAAACCTCCTAATTCACCTCTGCTAAGCACCTATAATATCTACATAAGCGTATATATCTCGTTCACGTATATGCTGAAGCTGTCACACCTCCACATTATGTTTATGACCATTTTATGGACGAGAATATTTATGACAACTATTTGAGAGTGGTCTAGTTGTTATCGTATATTATGTATTATATAACAATTATGGGTGATTTTTTCATGTTGTTTTTACGAAGTCGAAATTTTTCAAATTTTCCAGTAAATGACTTATTATCAGTGCAGTAAGACAAAAGTATAATTTGTCCCGATAACGTAGCACGTCTGTAAAATATTATCTATTACAAAAATATGTATAGAATTTAAAAATATATTTTGTGTAATTATTAAGTACTTTTCGTGATTGGACGTACGTTTTTCATTTGTTATTTGACTCAAAAAAATTTTTTAAACACTTTTCGTAATTGGTTTGTATTATCAAGATGTTGACATTGCAACAATATTGCTTTATTTTGCACATGGTATCGCTGGTTCAATAAATCAGAGTATGTTTCACTTTTATTCTATATTATTAATTTTTTGATAACAAAGGTGTTATTTAATGTGTTAATTTTGTTCAACAAATAAGACAATCATATTTTATTACAGATAATTAAAGTAAATAGAAAAATATGTTTTTTTTATTTTAGGCTGAACTGACGTTAGCTTCTGTTATTTACACAATAATATTTTATTACATTAATTTAAATATTAGTTCAAAAAATATGTAAACGTATGTAAAAGACCTCTCATAAAAATACCTGCTTTGATGTCTCCGATTGTTAGATTATAAAATTTGACTGTGGACTGTATGAAACACTGATTCGTTGGTAAAAATGTAATTGGAATTTTTTATTAAAATACTTATTTGTTATGAAGTGTTACTTGTTTGAATATTGTACATAGATATTACTTATTGATTAATCATGTTATCACGCGGACTTTAGTTATGGAAGTGGAAACTAAGTCCGATCCAACTCTCTGCTACCCCATCTCCAGGGTAGCAACTTTCCGATACAAAAGCTCAGTGTCATGAAGATCGCTGTCTTCATGTCCAACACAATAATATAAAAATACGTCCGATCAAAATATTTAAATTTATAATTGTTATTATTATTCACATATATTAGTTACCAGCAAATATGAACAAATTTTAC